GTGGTCGTCGCTGCAAATGGGGGACGTCGGCAGCGAGGTCGTCCAGGAGAGAAAAAAAGAACACTACAGCGCGCATTGTTTCATCTATAACTCGTACCAGACGCCGAAAATTGTACAAGAGCGAGTCCGAACCGCAGCTGCCCTAATTACTGGCCACCGATCGGGGTCGCACGTCGCTGCGGGCTACCACCGCCAAAAAACCGGACACCTCTGACGCCAGTTCAGTGAAGTTTTATATCGACGACAACCTATCTACAAACATTAAGTCTTTCGACAGCGTATAGGACGGATGTGCGAAAGGGACATAAGTTAGTGTTTAGCGCAGATAATTGGTACATCGATAACCCTGCTTCATGCAATTATAACATTCTCAAAGCAAAAACTGATGAAATAGTTGACAGCAGATAACTGATAAGGACTTTGAAAAAACTTCAAAGAAGATTGCAATACAAACTCAAGCCTTTACAGTACCATGACTAAATTAGAAAACATATTATCTCTGCAACTGAAACATTTACTTCTCCAAAAAAGGCCTTCAAAAGCAGGTTTTCAAAATAATGGCAAAATGTTGAGCATGCTCTACAGTGGTGACGAGAATGTGATTTCATCACTAATCCACTCCTTTCAGCTTAGACAGGGGAAATCCTCCTGTCGATGTTCGACAGCTGAACGAAAAAACCAAGGTAAGTCCAAATATCATGATGTCTAATAGCCTCAGTTGATGGAAACTCCCAAAAATACCTAATAATTTGCAAGTGTCGGAAGTGCGCTGTTAACGACAACTGGCCTACATAGAAACAATCAATCACTAATTCAAAACGAAGAACACTGCAAATCAATAATAAAAAGACTCGCACTCTTGGATAATAAGCAGCATTTCCTTTCTTAGCACGTGCAAATGGCCTGTATTGGGAATTAGAACTTGAATATATGAAAAATTATTTAATAAACATTTGCTAACGGAATGACTTTTGGCGCATTTAGTAAATGAACTCCGGAAGTTAAGAAATGATTCCCTCAATTTTGATCTACATCAAGAGCCACAGTTTTTTGTAATCTTGCAACTTTTGCACTTAGCTTCAAAGTCAATTTAATTGAATTCCATGGAAAGGTAATCCTTTTCACTGAGGCGCCATCATTATATCACACAAAAATCATACCTGAATGAGTGACAGTACACGTTCGTGAATAATCTGTGGTGTATCGAACTTCGAACCGATCAATTTCACCAGATCTTGTACAAAGTCCTTGGAACAGACGAGCACGTGGAAGTTATGTCCACAATTCTTTACGCATGTCTCAAGCACTGTTAGAGTGTACATCACGATAGCGTTGTTCTTGCACATGTTCGTGTGCAGACGTTTGCGGATAGCCCGTACAGCATCTTTGGCACTAAAACAAACAATTAGCACAAGGTCTTCAAAGCCTGCTGAAAGATAAGGAGAAACATTGCCAGAGAATGAAGCATTCTTCAAAAAAAGTCAACTTCGCAATAAAATAATGATGTAAATTCAACATCAGCATGAGACCGTGATTCATTATGTTTCACTAGTGATATTTCCTCCAGATGTAAATGAAGAAAAGATGTAGATTCCGAAGACGAAACAGGTAAGCATTAAATTTCTTTTAATATGTAGCTCTCGATAAGTCAACTCCTGGTGCAGCTTCAAAGTTATGAAGCTGTAAAGAAAAACAACAATTAAAGTTCGAATAACAACCGATTAACAAGTCCGACAATTGCTCCGACAACAAGTCCCACGAAATTCCCCATGTACACCAGCTATGTCCCAGATTAGGATGTTCATAAGGCT